TTCCCAATCTAGGGCACATGCCTGGGTTGTGATCCAGGCCCCCAGGAGGGGGTGTGCAAGAGGCAACCACACATTCATGTTCTCTCCCTCTCTTTCTCTCTCCCTTCCCCTCTCTCAGCATAAATAAATTCAATCTTAATTAAAAGTGTACAGTGTATATCATTAAGTCGTTTTAATCGTTCAATAACATGAAAGTTATTCTTGCAGTCTTTTTTTTTTTCATTTTTTCAGTAAGCACATCATGAGTCATGGCTAGAAGGAGACATGTTGATATATAATTTTTTTCACATTAAACAAGGTCCTTTCAGAAGGTTTCCAGGCATACAGTATGAAAACTAAAGACATTAACTGAAGGAGATACAAGAAAATCTATACATAGGACAATGACACCTCACTGGGTTCCAAAGTAGGAACCTTGGGACCTCACACACTCTTCCCAGGTGCTATTAGCTGCCCTGTCATATTTTCCTGAATGTCATCAAAAGTTTGAAATCTCATCCCTTTCAAAGATGATTTTAGTTTTGGGAAAACTAGGAGTTTGAAGGCACCAAACGTGTGCTATAGGGAAGCTGAGTGACCTGGTTGATTTAACGTTTCACCAAAACACTCTGCCTGAGACATGATGAACGACTAATGCACTCTCATGCTGAAGCTACCATTCACCAGTTGTCCATAGTGACAGCCTTCTGAGCCATTGGAGTAGATTCCATGGAGACATGTTCAAACATATTGGAATATTTTGTGCATATTTATTACTGTACTCTCCAAGTCATTTTTAATGTGAAGCTGCAAAGTACACATGATGATTCACCGGGGTCTAGTGCCCCCACTGGTAGTACAGTGAAGTCATCTTTCTCACATGCACATTCCAGTCCAGTCTCCTTGGCTGCCAGGATACATCAATGAGGTGCACACCTTTCTTGTTATGTTATATTAACAATAGTTGGACTTTTCCTGGAACACCTTTATTGTCACTAGAATAAAACCCTTTTTCATTCTGTTCTTCACCTTCACTATTGTAAATAAGGCTACAGTGGATATAAAGGTGTATATACCAATTGAAATGAGTGTATTCATATTCTTTGGATTACTCCCACAGATTGAATTGCTGTGTCCTGTGGTACTCATTTCTAAATATTTGAGGAATGTCCATGTTGTTTTCTTCAGGGGCTGCACCAATTTATTTATAATCTCACCAACACTGCACAAGCGTTCTCCTTTCTCCTCATCATTGCCAGTAGTCATTGTTGATTTATTGATCATTGAAATGGTGATAGGTGTGTTGTGGTATTTCATTATAGCATCAATTTGCATGTATCTGATAATAAATAGTACTAACCAACTTTTCATATGTCTGTTGGCCATCTTTATGTCCTCTTTATAGAAATATTTCTTCAGGTCCTCTGCCCATTTTTCTTTGTATTGTATGTTATATTTTTTTCATTTTTAACTTTATTTTATTTTATTTTATTTTTTACTTTATTTATTTATTTTTAGAGATAGAAAGGAGGGAGAAAGAGAGAGATAGAGAAACATCAATGTACAGTTGCTGGGGGACGTGGCCTGCAACCCAGGCATGTGCCTTGACTGGGAATCGAACCTGTGATGCTTTGGTTCGCAGTCTGCACTCAAACCACTGAGCTATGCCAGCCAGGGCTAATTTATTTATTTTTAGAAATGAGAATGAAGAGAGAAAGAGAAAGAGAAACCTCAGTGAGTGGTTGTTTCTCGTACACCTCCAACTGAGAATCTGACCCACACCCCAGGCATGTACCCTGACTGACAGTCGAACTGGTGATCTTTTGGTGCAGAGGACAGCTTTCAATCCTTTTAACACACAAGCCAGTGTTCCCCATTTTTCCATCAAATTGTTTTTTGGGTTTTGTGTAAGTTCCTTGTATACTTTGAATATTTAACATTATTTCTGGATATCTTCCCCTATCCAATAGATTGGTTTGTTTGTTTTCTTGATGATTTATTTTGCTATGCAGAAATTTATTTCATAAATTTCTTGAATTGTAGTCTTGTTTTTTTTTCCTGTTTGCTCTGCCTACCATATTATATCTAAAATATTTTTGTAAGAGTCATGACAGAGTTTATCATCTGTTTTCTTCTAGTGCGTTCATGGTTTCAGGTCTTATATTTTAGCTTTTAATCCATTTTGAGTTAATTTTGGTACATGTCATAAGGAAGTGGTCTTCTTTTAATGTTTTGTGTGTATTGGTTCAGTTTCTCTCAGACCATTTATGAAAGAATCTGTCTAATCTTGTGTATTCCTGATTTTTTCTTATAGATTAATGAAATATATTTGTCCATTTTAAAAATTGGGTTACCTCTTTTTATCATGATGCTTTATAAAAGTCCTTCATATAACCTAGATATTAACTACTTCTCAGATATATTTTGCAGAAATTCCCTTCCTTCTACAGGATGTGATTTTAACCTACAGATTGTTAGCTTTAATGTGCAGGAGCTTTTATATTTGGTGTAATGCTGTTTAATTATTTCTGCTTCTTTAGATTTACTTTGAGTGTTATAACAAAAAAACCCAAATGTCATGTAGTCTCTCTCCTTAGTGAGTGATGACCAGATAACATTAGCACTGGCCTGAGTAGCTCAGTTTGTTGATTGTCATTGCTCAAAGCCAAGGTCCCAGGTTTACTTCTGGGAAAAGGAGCGTGTCTGGGTTGTGGCCCTGGTGCCTGTTTGGGGACATAAAGAGGCAACCACTGATTTTTTCCATATTTTGATGTACTTTTAAATTTGAGTGTTGTGTTTTTACCTTCTCATTTTCTGTTAGGCTATTTTTACATTTACTTTCTTTCCGTTTTTATTTTTGTCAGTCACAGAGATGGTGATATTAAGTAGTTGTCATATTTTCCTAAGATTCTATTTTCAGGTTGTTATTTTCAATTCTTAATCAAGTAATTAATATGGTTCAATATAGGTATTGCCAGTTTGTGTAGATATATTTTAGTTTTCTGATTTGATGCTAGTTTTTTGTTTCCTGTCTTGATATATTGGTTGAGGTTGAGAGTTCTAAACCATTAGACTTTATGATCTTACATTATCTAGGTTAAGAACAAATAAATAACACTCACCCGTAGTTCAAACTCTAACTTCTGTAAACACTGGGGCTCTGTGTTTGTTTTTCTGTCTGTGTGAGTTTCAAGTTTAATATACAGTCTATTTATTTTTCAAATCTCAGGGTATCTTTTTATGCTTGATATTGGTCTTCATTCCATTGGTTTCTCTGGTGTTTCAACTATTACCCTACTTTGCAGTGTGCACTTTAATGTATTCATCATGTGCTGTTATGGTGTGAGCACTGTGCATCCTGCAAAATAGGAACAAATATTATGAAGATGCTTGAAGACAGTGAGATCATTGACCACACTGGACCCTGTATGTGTCTAGAAACCAAAAGGGAATGGGGAGTTTTCTTATCCTATGTCCATTGTGTGCCATGAGATGTGAGCACAGTGCTTGCCAAGTGTAAGGAACTGCTGTTCCTCTTTTATGTGCCTTCTCCTCATTGTACCATACTTGGTCTTGCTGGAAATATTTAATTTTTTGAATTACTCACAGGCGTAATTTACTGAAAACTCCCTTGTAACTTCAATGTATATCGACCTGCATTTCACATCTGTGAACCTTCACTTTGTGTCTTCCAGCTGTGTCACCTGGAGAAAACCAGGACTTCTTGCAAAGGTCAGGAATAGAAGACTTATTCTTTGAACCAACACTGGTAAGATATGAGAGGTGTGTCTTTGATACTGATAAGGAAGTGTGTGACAAGAAAGAAAGGATTTTTAAATGGAGAGAACTAACATTCAAAAATGATTCACGAAAAATCATTGTTATTTAAAGATGAAAAACATTACAAATTTCAAAAAACTTACACTTCAAATCATTTTCCTTTGCAGATCAATGGATTTCCAAATAGTAGACTGAAAACAATATTTTAACTGTGTGGATTCTTCTAAAGCATAGGTGGCAAACACAAGTCCTGCAGGCTGAACCTGGCCTCTGCCTTCTTTAATCCAGCCCTGAACCTTGTTCCTACAAGGCAGCAGCACCAACCTCCTTGCCCCTAGTTAAGGAATAGTTATATTTACACAATTTTAAAAATACATACATCCCCGTAACGCAAATGTGGGTATGATATGGCCCTAGGTTTAAATGAGTGTGACACCTCTATTCTAAGGACAATCTCAAAAATCAAGGAAACTTCATATTTGGGATGTGGTTAATCATTTGAATTGTTTAAAGTGCAGTTTGGGAATAAATTTTCAGTGAATGATTTGTACAATGTAGTCATTTAGAATGCATGTATAAAGCTTGAATGTGACCAATTTACAATCACTTTTCTCAGTAAATATACTCTTTTAGAAATAATGTGTTATTTTATTCCACTGTAAAATATGTTTATAAACTTGGAAGTGATTTTTAATACAACAAATGTGGTTTAATAGGTATCATAGAAAGATTATTTTGGAATAAGTGCATGTGGTTAATGAAGTTATGGGTGTCACTAAAGGCCTTTCTGTGTTCAATGATTCCCAGAGTACCTGTGATGAGGACAGAAGTAATGAGTGCAATAAATTTTGGAAGAATTTTACCCACACATCATATCCTAATGTCCATCTAAAGTGCCAACTTCCAGATAACCACTGTAAAGGGGGAAAAGTCGTTGATCAAATGTCAAATCACAATACTCATCGGGTATTTTCTACTAAGGAGAAGACAAAAAGAGAAGTAAAAATATCAAATGTTTAAATCAATCTTCAAATAGCACTGAAAAAAACAATATTCCTGTCATAGACAAAGATTACAAATATTTACCATGCCCAAAATTCTTCAACCAAATACCTAATCTAAATACAGTTAACAAAATGTGCACCAGAAAACAGCATGCATGTGGGGATTCAGGTAAAACAGGTCATTGTTTTTCAGGTGTAAATCTACATAAAAATATTTATCCTGGACAAAAGGCTGATATGTCTAAAGAATGCAGCAAAGAATTTTGGATTATCTCAACCCTTGCTCATCATCACAGAATTTACACTGGACAGAAGCCTGATAAATATGGAGGATGTGCTAAAGTTTTTAGCCAGTCCTCAAATTTTAATGAATATCAGCAAATTTGTATAGGAGAGAAATTTTTCAAATGCAGTGAAGGTGGCAGTGTCTTTACCAAGTTGCATAATATTGCTCATCATGACAGATTTCATACTGGTGAAAAGCCTTATATGTGTCAAGAATGTGGGAAAGCCTTTAGGTGGTCCTCACAACTTAAACAACATCAGCCAATTCATACTGGAGAGAAGCCATACAAATGTACACAATGTGGCAAAACATTTACACAGTCTTCAAACCTTTCTTCCCACCAGAGAGTTCATACTGGAAAGAGGCCTTATGACTGTACCCAATGTGGCAAATCCTTTAACCATACCTCAACTCTTACTCAAAATCAGAAAAGTCATAGTGAAGAAAAGCCTTATGAATGTACTCAATGTGGCAAAACCTTTAGCCGGACTGCACACCTGACTCGACATAAAAAACAAAATCATACTAGAGAGAAGCCTTATGAATGTACTGAATGTGGCAAAGACTTTAGCTAGACTTCATCCCTTACTCAACATCAGAAAATTCATAATGTGGGGAAGCCTTGTGAATGTACAGAATGTAGCAAAACCTTTAAATGGACCCCAAATCTTATTCAGCATGAGAAAATTCATACAGGAGAGAAGCCTAATAAATGTACTCAATGTGGCAAAGCCTTTAGGCTCCAGTCAGCACTTACTCGACATCAGAAAATTCATTCTAGATAGAAGCCTTATATATGTGAAATGTGTGGTAAAGCCTTTAACCTGCTCTGTAACCTTTCTCAGCATCAGAAAATTCATGTAGGAAAACAACCTTGTAAGTATTGAGCATGTGATAAAGCATTTTTACAGTCCTCACACATTACTCACCATCAAATAATTCACACCAAAGGAATGCCTTAAACATGCACCTTATGTGGTAAAGTCTTTAACCAGTCACCAATGCTCATTTATCACAAAACATATTTATACTGTAGCACAGCCTTTTAAATGTGCATGATGGGATAAAGTCTTTAGCCACTTCTAACCCTTACTGAACTACAGAGAATTCATGCTGGACACAAGGCTTATACATGTGGACTAGGTGGCAAAACATTTTGACATCAGGTCATTCATACGGGAGAAAACACAGATAAATGTACTGTATATAACAAGTGCTTTAGGCATCAGAGCTGCCTTACCCAATATGAGAGACATCCATCTGCAGAAAAACTATAGAAATGTAGAGACTGTGGAAAGATTTTAACCTATATCCAAAACGTACCCAACATTTTAAAGCACTGTTTTCAACATTCCTTTCTTATATGGCATATGAGAATTCACACTATAAAAAGATTTGAAAGGGAAATTGTAGGAAATCATATAGGTAGACCCACTGTGTCATTATACATCAGGGAAATGCACAGTGGGGTTCATTTCTATGTTCATAAAGAATGCATGACTTTTGTGAAATTACACCATTCCCATAATCCCAAAGAATTTATATGTGAAAGTGGCCTCAAAGGTGTAAAAATTCAGGAATTTATGTGTTTGAAAAAGAGGCTCCAAATATCATAACTCACAGTAGAGAGTTAAAGATAGGTTTCAGGTATTGCTCTACATGAGAATATTACTATAGAAAATCATCCAAAGTTTAAAAACACCAATCATTACTTTTCAGTGTCCTTCAAAATGTCAAGGAGATACATGACTAGATCTGTATAATTACTCAGAATATAAACTATTGTAAATTTACGGCATTTGAAATATTTTTAGAAAGAAATATTAAATTGATTCCAGTCTCTTATCTGTTGATGCTACTATGTTTTTATTCCTGGTGTGTGTGTGAAATCAGTGGGTTGATTGTTGTTTCCTTCACAACCTGTGAACTCTTGTATATTAGGTGAGCTTCACTCATGATTACATTTGTATATAAGACTGAGGACACTGTAATGCACAATGTATTTAAAAAATCTAAATGAAATTGCTGGTTTTAGGTTACTCAGAATTTTATTTTATGTTACCATGGAAGTGATGCTATTTTCCATTGTAGTAATACATAGAAATATTATAAATTTTAACTACTTTTCTAAACCTCCCTCTGAAGAAAATGTCAATTTATTAAAATCCTGATATATCTACATAGTAGTCATAGGCAAATGCATTGATGTGGTTAAAATGAAAAAGCCATCAGTGCTATTTGAGGGAATTTGGACAGTTCATTCCTCAGTGCATAACATTGTTGCACATCCATGTTTTCTCAACATTTACCCTCCAGATAGAAAACCAAAGAAAAGTGCACTATGAGACCATAATGTACAAGAACAGTAACACTCCCCAAATGTTTCCAATGTGTGTGTTGAGAAATGGTAACACAATTGTACTGTGATTTTTAGATGATGTGTGAATGTATATTTTCATTAATAAAGGTGAATGTACTAGAACATGATTATGTCTTTAACATTACTCAAGTTTACAGATAATAATAGATTATTGGGTAATGTAGTGCAAATGTGGCATTAGGAGTTTCTATGGTGTCCTTAGACATTAAAAAAAAATTCCTATCATTGATATATTCTATTTTACCTAATGGACCATTCTAATAATTACAATGAGTAATATGTGTTTTTTTTAAGACTTCAGCAAAGCTGTTTTATAATATTGCTGTGGTAGCATTTTTTTTTCTGTAACTAGGAGCCTTGAACTGCCACAACCTTCCCCTGCAATTTCACATTCCAGTAGACAGCATCTCACAGAGTCACAGTTAAATGTCCCTTCTTGACCTGACTTACTGGCAGCTGCACTGAGCAACACTCTTCCTTCCACCTCAGGCCTTTCACCAGGCATAACCATTAGATAAGATCTCTGCACACTTTAACAAGATCTTGTTTTCTTTTTCTTTTTTATTTTTTTGGTTCATGTTGAACAATCTAAACTTAGCTCAAGAACCCCTAAGTCCTCTTCACATGAACCCTAATGAAATCACATGCCCTGGGGTCTCCTGCAGTCTGCCAGAATTTGGCCTCATCCTCACATGTAGCTACTATAGACCTGGTGTGTATGTCCCCCAGGGTCTGTGGGAAATAAAATTGTCTGTTTCAATTTGTTCTGTGGTCTTTTACATAACTGCTACTCACTATCCAGACCTAGGGTGCACTGCTTAACAAATGCTAATTTTATTTTTTCAATTTATTTATTTATTTATTTACTTATTTATAGAGAAGAGAAAAGGGAGAGAGTAAGAGAGGGAGAGAATCATCAATGTATGTTTGTTTCACACATGTTTCCACTGGGAACCTGGCCCACAAACCAGGCATGTACCCCTGACTGGGAGATGAATGGGCCACCCTTTGAATTTCAGACCATGCTCCACCCACAGAGCTACACTTGTAGGGCAAATGCTAATTTTTAAAAGTGTAGGCAACTATTCTTGAACAACCCTAAAATATTTTTTAAAGTGCAAACATGTTTAATTTCACAGTTCTGATTAATATTTTAATTACTTCCCTAAAGTTTATTTTTTATAGATTCATGATACAAGCGACATATCTTCACTGTTTTGTAGTTACCATTTCACAGGTGACAGGAATCAAAGACGTTCGATCTGGATTTAATTTTATAATCTAGGTGTGTAGTAGTGACATCTACTTGCTTACTGAATATTCATGATCTCCTTCCTTTACTGAAAAAAGAAAGTGTTCACTTTTTATTTATTTTTTACTTTTTATTTTATTGCATTTCAACTACAGTTGTCTACATTTATCCCCCACCTCCCTCCACTGATTCCACCCTCCTTCGCTTTTGCCCATGTGTCTTTTATATAGTTGTTCCTGAAAACCCTTCTACCTTTCCTTCTCATTATCTCCTCTCAAGTCCCCTCTGGATACTGTCAGATGTTCTTAATTTCAGTGTCTCTCAGTTCTGTTCTTTCCATTAGGACAAGATTTTTCATCTTGATTTTGTCCACCTCCCTGTGTTCCTTGCTCTATATAGGTTAGGGTTGCTATGTTGCTTGGTCTCTTTAGGGTGACCTTATGTAGTGAGTGTCCTATAGGATCCACTAGCACAGGCTTTCTTTTTACCGGAGCTGGGGGCTCCTGCTGTGTCCTCCTTTCCATTGTGGGCAGTATACACTGCCATTGAAATTAAGCCTTGGTTTCTTTTGTACTTGAATGGGATGGGTTTACACCTGAGCCAGTCTAATGTGAGGACTAGCCACAACAACGCACCTCCAACACTAAGTGCTGTGGCACATCACCTGTCCAGGGGAAGGTCCCTCAAAGCTGGACTTACTTCAGTGTGACTCTGTTTACTGGTGAGGCTGCTTCTTCAGTTTGTTACTTGTGAAGGTTGATGGTGGTGCTTTGGCATGAAATGAAGCTGTCTGCAAGGTGGCCTAGCTTTGGGACATCCACCTGTGCTTCCACGTCTGCCCTTCTAGGTGACATGTTATGAGATACAAAAGGATCTTCACATGGCTGCTACTTTAGATTGTCTTAGAGGTACCCAGGAGAAGTCGAGTTGATGAAAATGGCCTGCTTTCAAATGTCCTAAGGACAAAGACCACATGCAGGTGTTACAGAATATGCAGAAATCAGATGGCCTGTTTTATAGATATTAGAAAAGTCTGAAACAGAATCAGCACAGGCCAGATATATGCAAAAGCTACTGGAAACAGCATGGGGGTGCCTCCAGTTCTGGTGGGGCAAGATATCAGGAAATTCCCAGAACAAAGCTAACAGCTGTAGTGAGGTGGTAAGATACTCAGGTATGGTGTCGGTCCTACTGAGACTTGTGGTGGTGGTGGGTGTTCTTGCAGAAAAACAACAATTACCCTTGACCGCACATCTGTCTGGGAGAAAGTTGCCCCTCCAGTTCTCATTGTGATGCAAGATCATTAATTTCCTGTCTGCATGTCCAACTGCTGCCATGATGCTGAAACTCAGAGTGACTGAGTCCTTGTAATTCCATTCTAATGCCCTTTAAGGGGAACATGGGGACTCCAGGTACCTGCTGTGTCCCTCCAGCAAACCCTCACTGGTTTCCACAGCCAGAGGTTATGGGGACTTGTCTTCTCCCCAGTGCCAATGGGGACAGGGGATTCTGATGTCATGCTGGGAACCATCAGTCTTTAGTGGGAACTTCTGGAGCCAAATTATCTTTCCCAGTTTTTAACCACCATACAAACTTTTCAACGTGGGACCTATAATTTTCATATCTTTGCCCCTTCTACCCATTTCTATGTGCCTTTGTGTATGCATACTTTTAGGAGTTCTGTTGAGCCAGATCAGGTGGTTTCAGAATGATGGTTTCTGTACTTTAGTTGTGATTCTGATGTGTTCAGGGATCATTTGAGTATAGGGTTTTACCTTTTTCTGTAATCTTGATCCCAACCCCCCTAGGCTTTTTTTTTATATTTAGATTACATGTATATGATATCTGATCATGATTATTCATTTTTTCCTACCTCTGCTTTATTTCACTTAGCAGAATATTCTCATAGTTCATGCATGTTGGGTACAAAAGGGCAACATTTT